TGAGGACCATCGTGGTTCCTATCAGTGTGTTTGCCCAATGTGGGGTAGGTGTTTTAAGGGTATCCTAAGCATGGGCTACATTCAGTCAACTTCCAAGTTGGTTTCCATGCCTAAGTACATACCGTTTCTAGCAACAGTTTAATGAAATACAAGTGCCAGTGGCGCGTTTCTACCACCTGCCCATTGGTGGAATCAACTACAGGACCCACCCCTTCTCCCCCGAGTCAGCAGGATCGGCTTCAGGGGGACCCTCTCCTGGTCACTGACTGTCCTCTGGGGCAGCAAGTGTCCTCCCTGCATTGCCCTGTGTCAGCCAGCTTCATCATGAAAATAGTGTGCAACAACAGCAAGTACAGCAATCCAAGTAAGAGATACTGAGAAATGATTAGACACCGGACTCACGAACAACTTAAAGCACACTACACCGATCTTAATTTAACCACACCCATCTCTGACAACAAGTTTGACACAGCTATTAAAGTGATCAAGACCAGCAAGGCTGCTGGGGTAATTAAGATACTTCTAGAATTTGTAACCAAGCTCAGAACCACAATAAAAAGATGACTTCAGAAATTCATGTAAAAATGTCGATAAAGTAACAGACTTCCAAAATTCTGGAGAAACGCTGATTTCATTGCTATCCTGAAACCAAATATACCATCAGAGGATCCAAAGAGATATACTCTGTGTTACATAAAAACTCAGGGAGCACATAATCCTGAACAGAATAGAGAACATCATTGACTGCCCCCCTCCCCCCAAACTTCCAAAACAACATGCTGGCTTTTGGAAAAAGCAGTGTACCACTGGCCAAGTTTAATAGATTTCATAGACATTAGGGCTGGAAGGGACCTCACAAGATCATCAGGTCCAGCCCACACCCAAAGTGCAGGAGTTTGCTGGGGTGAAATGATCCCAGCAAGATAAGCATCCAAGTGTGTCTTAAAGGTGTCCAGAGTAGGTGCTTGCACCACTTCTAGGGGGAGTCTATTTCAGACTCGGGGGACTTCGACAGTAAGAAAGTTATTTCTTATGTCCAGCTTAAAATGGTCTTCCTGGAGTTTGTGAGCATTAGGCCTTGTCTTCCCTTGGGGTGTCCTGGAAAACAGATGTTCTCCCAGTTCCTGGTGCACCCCCCTAATATACTTATAGGCTGCCGCCAAGCCTCCCCCGAGACTTCACTTTTCCAAGCTGAAGAGTCCCATGTCTCAGCCTTTCCTCATAAGACTTATTCTCTTGTCCTCTGATCATGCGCATGGCTCTCCTTTGGACTCTCTCAAGCTTCTCCACATCCTTCCTGAAGTGCAGAGCCCAGAACTGGATGCAGTACTCCAGCTGTGGCCTCACCAGGGCTGAGTACAGCAGGAGGATGACTTGCTGGGTCTTGCTTGAAATGCATAGGTGGATGCAAACAAGGGTTTTGTTTGCTTTGCTGGCTGTGGCATTGCATTGGTGGCTCATGTTCATCTTGTGGTCAATCAAGTCCCGTTCAGTCGTGGTGCTAGCAAGTGTAGCACCACTGAGCCTATAAGTATAACATGGATTTTTTTTCCCTTTGGTGGAGCACCTTCCATTTCTCAGTGTTGGATGTCATCAGGTTTTGATCTGCCCACCTTGCAAGCCTGTCCAGGTTGGTCTGAATCTCCAGCCTATCCTCTAGTGTGAGCACACTTCTCCATAGTTTGGTATCATTAGCCAATTTGGCCAGTCTGCATCTGATACCTGCATCCAGATCATTTATAAATATGTTAAAAAGTACTGGTCCAAGTAGGGAGCCCTGAGGGATGCCACTGGTCACCATACGCCACGTTGACACAGTTACATTACTTACATCTGACAGCAAATACATTTGAAATGAGGCAGAAAACAGGAATTTTTTTATCAACGTTACAGTCACCTATGACACTGTATGGCATCAAGGCCTCAAATATAAACTGCACAGTATGATACCTGACAATGAGCTATGTGTTTTTATCTTGAACATGATCTCCAGCAGATCATTCAAATTCACTACCAGCCAAAGAGAAAAAAGCAAAGTATGAACTCTGAAGAATGGAGTACCCCAAGGGTCAGTGCTGGGCTTGGCACATTCTGTAGGTACGAAAAGAAGATTCCTGTTCCAGACCATATAGAATTACTAGCAAATGTATGGGACAGAAGAGTTAAGACACCAAACTTTCCCCCTTTGATCAGTTTATTACTTGTCTGCCTTCCCATGCTGCAGCAGGAGGACTAAAACTAAGTACAGGCAACCCCCTTTAGTGCTCTTAATTGGTTCCGGAAAAAACGAGTGCTAAGCAAAACCACATTAAGTGAAACCCATTTCCCCATAGGGTTTAATATAAATAAATATAATTGGTTCCTGTGTGCCTGCTGGCCCTGGCCCTGCTGCTCCCAGCAAGGCACTGTGCGGGCTCCTCCAGGGAAGGCATCGGCTCCTCCCAGCCTCGTTGTTGCACGGCTGCGATGGCCCTGCCGGCCTGCACCCACTGGTCACCAGCACACCTGTGCGCAGCCCCAGCCACCCCGCCTGCGGGGCCTGAGTCAGGGAACTGCCCACCCAGGGATTAACAGTGAGAAGGCAGGGATTAATGGTGAGCAGCAGAGCTCCGGCAGGTGAGTGTGTGACCGGAACAGGTCACAGGCTGCAGCCCAGGGATGGGGGGGTCCACGGGCTTGGCTCCACTGCGGGCTGGGCCGGGGGACACTGCACATGTGTCCTTGAGCACTGGCTTACACCGGCCCAGGCCCCGCAGTCCTGCCATCCCTGGCCTCGGGCTCCACGCTCCTGCCGCCCTGCAGGCCCTGGCCCTGGGCACTGTCATAACCCAAAGGTATGATTTTGTGTGTGCTTTGGCACTAGAATTATCCCCGCCAAATTACAGCTTCGTTGCACGGTAGAGTTTTCTGCTGCAGAGGAGAACCCCGGTGCCAGGAAGAGTTTCCCGCCAATTTGTGGCTTCCTTTGCAGAGTACGTTGCTCAAGTTGCAAGAGAAATGCACGGTGCAAAGGAGTTCCCACCACCCGCATGCAAATTGGTTCCCCGCTATTGGCTAGTTCTAAATTATTCCCACGTGGCGACTAACGATTGGCCTGTTAGCCGAATAAGAGGCTTGAGCGGTTTCCGCCCAAGCCGAAGAGGACTCCACATCCATCTCGTGGGGACTCTGGATACACGGCAGGGTAATAGAGACCCTGTGTGAGATTCAGAGGAGCTTGGCGACCTGATCCATCGCCCACCTCTTCCCGTCTTCGAGCGATAATTT